GATGGGAAGTTCGAAGTGCATGTGGCTGCAACCAACCGTACCTACCTGTTACCTGTGAGTTGCACTCCTCCTCCTCCTACTACTACTACTTTTTCACGACTGACTGACCCAAACAGACAGGGAAGACATTTTTGAGCCACCGTTGGCAAATTAGGAAGGAACGATTGACCATCGGTGATCGGACCTGTGGGAACAGTGTTCCGTCCTCTCGAGGACGCGTAGTCAATGGTCTAACCGTTAAGGCATGCAAAACATAAGAGTACGGTAAATGACACAAGATTACACACCCCCTGAACCGATTTTCTAATCTCAATTTCTCAACAGCAGAAAGAGTCACAGCGCCGAAAACGGTGGCGGCGTTGAAGCTGTCCTGTCCGGAGCTTTCCAAAAACGTATCGTTTCGTTTATACATCCTCTTCGTCGTGGTCTAATCGAGCTTTGAAAATTGGCCCAGGGGGTGTGTTGTCTTGTGTTTTATACGGTACGCCCCCCCCCCTAATCATGTGTATGTATGCCCTCTGAACAGTTATGCCCAACCTCATGATGTATGTATGCCCTTAATTGCAACAGTAAGCCCCCCCCCTTCATAGATATATATTTCCCTGTATGTTCATTGTGTCACTTGGTTGAGAACACCGCCGAAACGGACGGGCCATTGTTGTCCCTGCCTGACGTTTGGCAGAAAGCCAGTGCTCCTTCTCGTTGGCAGTGTCCAGGACCGACATCACGCGCGTCGCCGTCCCCTTCAGCAAAGCTTCGCGGTGCTGCAGTGATCAGAAATGGGAGACGAGGGAGAGAGTGAAAGGCAAAGAGTGAAACGAAGGAGAATGCTCTTGCTAGGAGGGTCGATTTCCCAATTGAGTAGACGACGACGTGGCAAAATACGGCTATTCCTGTCTGTAACGTGGCCCACAGCCTCCACGTCAACGACAACCGCAACTCATTGATGGGTGGAATATTTACTGTGCTTTTCTTTCCGGAACAATGAGCGGTCGGTGCCTACACCAACACCTGTATCGTAATAAAATTCATGTTTTTTCAGGTATGCGTACGTGTGTACAAAGCACATCAAACTTGAAATTACATCGAGAAATATCAAAAATTGTAAAGAGTTCCATCCATTCGACAGTATTTTCACGTGACGTGATTACAATCAACACCTTCCGATGAGAAAAAAATTCCTTCCACAATTGTCCGATCCGAGAATCGAACTCGGGTTTCCACAGCCACAATGTGGTGTACTTACCACTATACTAATCAGACAACTGACGGATCGCCATGCCTGAATATCGAGAATTGCCTTTCTATAATCATATTGTTCCCTACCGACGGTATGCGAGCTGTGTGCGTCACGTGGTGGAAGACAATCTTGTTTCATGCCGTGCGTTATGTGGTTGCTGGTGTCCACGTCACGATGCATCTATCTCTTGTTTATTTTCTATTGTATGCCCTCTTTGCACCGCATGGCATCTAGACTGGTATTTCTTATTTTTTTCCCGTCGTTTTTCAAACAACACCGGTTTATGTATCAAGTTAGAGAGAAAGGATGCACTTGATGTTATTCAGCTTTCCAAGTTCCCTGAGTGTTGTCGGAAAATATTTTTGCGATTTTGGTCACCTGTAGGCTTGTTTTGAGATGGCCCAGCTCCGCTTGCACCGCTGAGTACATCCGCCCTTTCGCAGAGATTTCCTTCTGCAGAATACCCACTTGCAGGACGCCCTCGTTCTATGTATGTATTGTATGCATGCATACATTGGGGGGGGTAATGTACGATCGGCGCCGTACGCGTCATCAAAGAGCAATACAAAGAGACCATCATATGGTGACCCATATTTCACGTGTTCTGCACGCATGCATAATAGACTATATGTAGGAGTAGCATAATTGAATCCAAATAATGGACACTGGGTTTCTTTGAACCTGCTGCTACAAACAAACGCATCTAGTTCATTTATTCATCCCTTGTTTCTCGATTGCAGGGACAACAAGATGTGCTAAAACGGTCGGTGGCAGTGCCATCACCAGCAGTATCCTTTGTCACGCTGCTTGTCGTATCTTCAAAATATACATTCGCCCCCAAACTTTTGCTCGACTCTAGTCGGAACTGCCGCCATATGCTTTGATGTCGCGTCACGAGTAGTCTACCACGTACGTACGGACGCGTACTTTGGAGGTGCGCAACGGCACTCTAGAGTATACACTTCGGGTGGCTTGCGAACGAAAAACATTGTAGCCATGATTGCACTTGACCTCCGTACAAGGCCTTGGGGAGGACGGGGGAGGGAGTTTCTCTCCAACCTCCGAACAACAATCAGTCCCCGAAGCTGTTCGTTTCGAGAATGAACATACCATTCGCCACTGGTGGGGGAATTAGTCTATTTCTAGAATACCTTATGCTACTGTGCTAAAAGATGCTTTAGATGTGCCCCAGTTTGGGTATGCATGCCAATCAATCACCACCGTGGAACTTCGCCTCTTTGCCTCGGTTATTGATAAGAAGGAGGGGGATGCTGGCAAAGAAGACATACATATGGATGGCCGGACATACTCTTTGACAACAACACAGAAGGGAGAGAGTATTATTGTGCCATCATCCGTGCCCACTTCACCTGCATCTTCGCGTTCCTGGCGAGTTTCTCCTGGGTCTTGGCGACGAGCTTATCCTTGGCCTCCAACATAGACCTCTGTTCCATCAGCTGCAGCGAATGGCCATGATTGCGGCAGACAAAAATTGAACGAAGAAGGACGGAAAGGGAAACGAGCGTCTGGGGTGGCACAGGGGGACAGGATGAGATACAGAACAGGAGGCCTTTTTTTCACTCCAAGGGGCGTGCTTGCGCGAATGCTCGAGAGGACGTTGATGGGGCTCAGAAACCACGCACAACATCAAACAATCGACCGAAAGCACCAAATCCAGAATCGAATGGACGAGACTACGTTGAAGAGATTTTCGCGAGAGAGTAAACTGTCACCTGCGTTGTAAGGGCTTTCTTGAGCTTCTCCAACTCGGACACGGCGGTTTTCTGCTTATCCGCCATGTTCTCCCACTCACTCAAGCGCTGCGCCTTTGCCATGACCTATCGGAATGAGCCGTTGCGGGTACCGTGTGTTGCTGGTTGGTTGTCTTTGGTGCCATCGTGGTTCTGATGCTTCATCCGCTGGGGGCCTCGAACAGGACCAAACATCGCTGCCAAAACGACAATCAATCAATCACCGTATCGCACGAAGTGATCTATTTTCGGCATGGGGTCGTTGAGAACCACGACGAAATCAGAGTTCGGCGAGGACTAGGGGGGGAGTGAAACGCACGCCGTGGTCGTTACACCATTGACCTCGCATCCCTACACGGACGGAGCGACTCTGTACGCCTGGTTTTCGCCGGCCCGGGCTATGCTTCACGGGGATGATCCAGAAGTTGGTCATCACCTTTGAGTTGCGTTTGAAGTTGCGTTTGAAGTTGAGAGGGGGTGGCGGCAAAGGGAGGGGACGCGAAGCGAGGATTCTCCGTGTGTGCCCCGCGCCGGCTCCATAAACAAAGACACTAGTGAGACGAGAAAGTACTACCCAAAGCAGCCGGGTTGTTGGAACCGACTAGAGCCAAGGTCTCGCAGTGGCGAATGGTGCATGCATCCATTCGTTCTCGTCGCACCTCTCACTGACCGACTCGCCCGCAATCCCCAGCCTTCCAATAGATGGCACCATTGCTCCCATTGCCCCACCCCACCTCTCTGCCCTCTTCCCGTCCCTGTCCCCTGACCCAGGTTCCTGTCATACACACCTCCTCCTCCAAGACTAAGACCCGTGCCTGAAGCTGCTCGCATTTCTCCTTCTCCGCGGTCAGGGCCAAGCCGCTGTCCAACTGTTGTTGAGTGTCGAGGGTTGGTTGTGTTAATATTATTAATAGCGTTCCCACCCCCCAGGGCAATGATGAGGAGAGAGGTTGCTGAGCTTGGCTACCGTGAGTCGTGCCTGCAGCTCTCCAAGTAAAGTACACGCAACGCCCTGCGCTTTAGTACGGTACCACAAGTGAAGACGGCAGGTAGAACCCCCCGGGCGGCGGAGTTGGCGCATTGGACCCCAACAACCTCTTGAAAGCTGAAAACCACACTAAAAAAAAAAGGACGACTCAAAACCAGGATGAGATTGCAAGATAATACGTAAGTCGACTGGTGACTGGTCTTGTTGAAAAACAATACGTTGTGGAGACCACCTTCATAAAGGCACAATCTCCCCAACGTCTGTCGAGGATGATTCCCTCTCTTCACAATGTAAGTGGACAGGATGCCTGGTCCGTCGCATTCATCCGCGCTTTACCTCACGGGTGCACTGCTGTTCCATGCGCTTGGAGAGAGTCCGTAGCTCCTTCCTGGCTGCCATTACCTCCGCCTTGGCCTCTTCTGCCACTTGGTTCTTTGTGATCTGGCTGATCTCTTCTCTTGCCCGGAGAACGTTCACCTGGATGATGGATGATGAGTGGTCGTTCGTCGTGATGAATGAAAGGTTCAAGGGGAGGACGTGGTTTTCAATTGCGCCTTATCCCTCTCTCTCTCTCTCTCTCTCTCCCTTTCTCCCTCTCTCTCTCTTCCCCCCCCCTTTCTCTTTATGGTACTAAATAACCGTTCGTCGCTCTCGCATTCTCTCTGTTCTATAGTTACCCTCTCCTTCTTCCTGGCACTCTCGCGCCTTGGTGATCGCTCAAACCTCGCCCATTGCCCGAACAGTGTTCAAGGGGCACATTGGTGATCCTGTCGATGTGTTTGGCTACATAAGCCTCTGTCTTCGACAATGACTGCGACTTCAGTCTTCTGATTTCCAACCGAGAGGCTTACTCAACGTCACCCGTCTGTGGTAACTTCGGGGAATTCGCTGCGATAGTAATTGACCTTCGTATTCGATCTGTGTACCAGTTTCCGTGCATGTAATCGTATTGTAGCTAGCCGCTTGGCTCGAGGTGCATTTGTGTCTGTTGGGTCATCGTGTTTCGCACGCGCAAGAGGTTTTACCCTCCTACTTTTCCGGTTGCGGTCACCTGTTTGTCGTGGCCTGCTTGCTCGTGGTCTATGGCTTTGTGAAACTGAGCTCCGACAAAGTCTACGTAGCCTGTGAGGATGCGGTGGTCCTCCAACACCCTCTTCATGTCCTCCCTGCTCAAGGCACGTACGGATTGGGGGTGGGATACACGTTCGTCGTTTACGTCGTCTCTGTCTATGCAAGCCCTCTCTGCGTGCCGTCATCACGGGAAGAACACGTGCGTAAATTTTCGTCGGGCAAGGGGACGCAATCGGATTGTTGTCAGGTTCGAAAAAATAATCAAGCCTCCCGGCACCCCGGCGAAGTCGTCGAGGAATGAAGCCGCGGAAAAAAATGGGTCTCCAACACGAAGGATGGTGGGTTTCAGGTGCCAAGGGCGCATGGAGATCTCGCGACTGGCATGGAAGGGCCGGTGGGGATCGGAGAGCGCGGGGATGAAGAGCAGTTTTCGACACCGATGAAGGATCATTTTCGACTATTGATAATTGTAGCCCGCGTACAAGTAGTTCTCCTTACACTTCCAAAGGGATGAACAAACAAGGTGCTCCATGTTCACTCTGACCTTTTGGATCTTTCGTGCTCTCTCGCGGCGTTCTCCGCCTTCGCTTGCATCTCCTCGGCGTCGTCGACGGCGGCCTACGTCCCGCGAATCAATGCCAAGTCGCATGGGTTGGAGAGTGAGTGGTGGTATTGCCTAGACTTCGTGTTGTTGGCAATGTGTAAAAACCATTCGGTACATAATCTTCGTTATTCTAGTATACGTTCACGGGCGGTGATGATATCCGTGGCGACGGTGACATCCGTGGCGGCGGTGACATTCGTTGTACGGTTTTACGGGTATACGTTAGGCGGTCGACCGTAATTATGGATCACCCCACATACGGTCGATAGCGCAACCGATAAAAACGTTTAACCGAACAAACGTACTACCGCATATACGGTCGACTGAACAACCGCGTAGGCGTGTATACGATGGGTCGTATAACCGCATGTACGGTCGGCCGTAATGTTTGAAGTTCTGAAAACATGCAAATTCGGTAATTGCGACTTTTCTTCCGGTAACCTCGTGTGTAACCTAAATATGTAGTAGGAGGCCGACTCGTGCACGAGTACCATCGACACAAAGACGTGCACCGTCAACGCGATACACACAGCATTGAATAAAAACCATGACCAACCTGGCTGAGCTCCTCGTATGCGATCTTGAGCTGCATGTAGCTCTCCGCCTGCAGCGCAAGCTTTTTCTCGTACATCGCGCTCATCGCGGATGCTTCCCTGTGCAACAACGCGCCATGTCAAGGAACGGCATGTCGTTCACATGAGGCGCGACGCCAATCATCGGGACTACCAATTGACCGCAGCAACGTTGCCAAAGCATGGTTCCACCAACATTCAAGGGACATTGGCTTTCGGTCTGGTCGATGTCAAGCAATACATGACAAGAGTGATGGATTGAGGGACCATGTTCCAACAGGGCTCCGGGATTTCTGTCTGTCCAACTGTCGACAATATCAAGGTGGAATCGTCTTGAAGAACTGTGTGGGGTCACACCGGAAAGCAGGACAGAGTCACGAGGATGACGTTCTTTGGAGGTAGTACAATTGCAAGCGAGATCGACGCAGCACACCGAGGAAAAATCGAGGATGGCACGATGATCAGGGGCCGGTCGCGAAAGCACGTCGTCATTGCCGGCGTCTGTGTTGGAGACGGGCATGACCAGGGCCAAAGTGACAAACGAACAACCGGATGGATAACACCCTATCAGGACCACTTTCAAGCTTGGCACGACAAGGGTACACACGAATGTACTCGTCAGCTGTGTCCTTACTCAGGGCATGTTAATGAGCATCGAAACCTATAAGAAGCGTTCTGTGGCGAAGCCCCATCAGGCGATGCGCTTGTAACAAAACACAGAGTTCTTTCGTGGGGGGTAGCATCTTTTCGCAACGCTTCATGTTGTACCTTTTGCGCTGCTCAATGCTGTCCCTAGCGAGATCCTCCCGCTCTCTCTTGCCCTTTACCAGCGCTCGCCGCAAGGAAGCCACGTCCACTTCCATGAGCGACAGCTGGGTCAGCGGATAGGATGGACACGTTGACAAGCCGGATGCACGTTGGACACTGACGCGCGTTTTCTCTCTCTTGCCTGGGTGCCGATCGGATTTCGTCTGCGCTCAACACAGTCTTCTACACCATACAGACAGCGTGGACAATTCGAATACCAATGGCTCACCGAGCGTGTAGTACAGCATGCAACTGCCCCTTGATTCGGCGTGTTGCGTGACACTTACCCCAGCACCGCTACCCTTGCCGTGTACGCGCCTCTGTGAAAGCAGCCAGGCTCTTCGCGTGAACGCTTCGCCCGCACCACCCCATTCCTTCCCGGTCAATGGTCACAAACTGCCGCACGTACCTCCAGTCTCCCTGCTTCCTTGACGGCGGCCAGCTCCTTTTGCTGATCACGGCTGCTTTTCTGCAGCTCGAACCTCGCCTGGTGCTTGACGTGGGTAAGCTGCTGGAGAGCGGAGGCAGCCTTGGCCTGAAGTCTTCCCACGGTCTTTTGGCACGGTGTTGACAATCCCAAACATCGCCGGATCGAAAAGGGAAGGGGTTGGGAAGAAAATGAGTCCAGGATCAAAACGAAGCACACAGAAGAGTGAGCCGGACCAGCCACCGCAGGGTCAAAGAGACATTCGCCTGAAGTCTTCTCTATAGTCTACAGGTGAGGTGCTGAAGGCAAGATAACACGTGCGTGGAGGATCTGTTGTCGTGAGCATGGTCTGCCGATGTCTTCGCAATGCCTGCTATGAGCTACGCAACGTTGAATCTTTTCGAATTACGAAACGTTGAGCCCCCTCGAGCTACGCAACGTTGAGCCCCTTCGAACTACGCAACGTTGAGCCCCTTCGAACCACGCAACGTTGAGCCCCTTCGGCCAGTAACAGTACGCTGAAATCGAGGAAGCTTGCAATGATGTGCTACATTGCATCCTTGCGTGTGGTCTGATGAAGATATGTACCAGGCGCAAACGGAACACCCGAAGGTGCCCACAAGATACGCGTGTGACACACGGCCCTTCTACAACTGAAACCGAACGGGTCGGTGCATCGAACGAGAATCGGCAGCCAACGTAAGATACTCCGTGGAATAAGCCACGGGAACTCAAGGGAGGAGAGGGGGAAAGCTTTGCGTGTCCGTTCGTGGCATCATGCAAATAGCGGTTTCGTGAATGTCTTCTGAAAGCCTGTTCAGGGTGGCCAGGTTCTTTGCCGTATCGGCAAGCGAGCCTTGAAAAGACCCGGGAGTTGGTTCCGCTTTAGGCAGTGACCGGAGTTACATGAAGGCATGTCCTTTGGAACTTGTCAGTCAGCGTCGACCACCCATATCTAACAACGGAAATTCTCAAAGACGTTCAGCATTAAAACCGTCGACCTCCTCGTGGCATCCAACTCTCTCTTACCTCTTCCTCCATGAGCACCATCCCTTCCTCAACACAAGCCTCCAGAGCCATGCAGCTCTCGGTTGGAGCTGGAACTATCCCGACCGCTCCCGCGTCCGCTAATTGCTCAGCACCCTTAAGTCGCTCAAGCAGGTAGGGGGCGGGGGGGGCGGGGGGGGGCGGCGTACTGTTATGTTTTGCATGCCTTAGCGGTTAGACCATTGACCACGCGTCCTCGAGAGGACGGAGCATTGTTCCCACAGGACCGATCACCGATGGCCAATCGTTCCTTTCTACTTTGCCAAAGGTGGCTCAAAAATGTCTTCCCTAGT